TTTTTTTTCTTATAAAGAAAAAACATTTATTTTATTTCATAAAACCTCCAATATGTTTGTTGACTTGTTGATAATTCTTGTTGAAACCGAACAAAGTAAAACCAAAGTTCAAAGCGGAATTGGGTAGACGAACAAATATTTGATAAAATCTTTGAGTTTTCCATGAGGATTGGTGTATTCATCACACTCCTTGTAAAATACATTGATCACGCGTGTAATGTTGAGGCATCGCACTAGAATTGGCCGTGGCACATCGGTTGTAGTCAACCACTCCTCCATCACTATCTTATAGTGATCTCTAATCATTTTATTCATTTCCCTAACCGCTATTTTTTGGGTAACTCCATGCTGTTTCATATAACAATTTACCCCATTAGCCACTTCTCCTCTGCCTATCTCTTGCTGTTCATTAATTCAATTAGACATCGAGTTAGTACGCTAACGGAGAAAAAGAGTCATTAAGTTAGATTTGTATACCTCGAAAGAGGATATGTCGTTGGTCATACGGTATATAGCACTCAAAAATTGGAAGATTTTGGGATTGGAGTGGAACCATTCGTAAAGTGGTTTCTCATCACAATCTTCCATTCCGATAAAGCTGTAGGCTGCATAGTCATTCATCCCTGCTGTGACCAATCCAACCTCCATGTATTCCTCAAAGTTTGGCACGTGACCTGCGCATGCCCACTTTGCTATCTCGAGGTATGCTCTTCCAATGCTTTTGATCTGTGTGCGACTCTCTTAGTTAAACTTGAACCGAAAACATTACTTGTTGTAGCCATTAATTGAGGATTTACCTCATCTACAATGACTTGCACACTACGTCCTCGTGGCTTCATTTCTCGTTCAATCTCTTGTACAGTTTCCAACAAAGTCCTGATTACGATTCTCAAATAGCTTGGTAGTTCGTCAATGGTAGCAAGATCCCACCTAGCCAGTTTTCCCCACCCATTTCCTTGTTAAATTAATAAGATATATAGAAACACAAGTGAAGACCATATAATCATGTACATATATACTACCTTTGCAAAGAATCAATAAGACTTTTCGCTTCCGGAAAAGTGGCATACGCATCACATGTGTCATCCAAAACCACCACAACTATTATGAGTTTAGTGATTATAATTCTCCCAAGTGAATATCGTGGCTCGAAATATATTCCCAGCGCCGCGAAATAGGTCTCAACAATCCTATCCCTAATGTAAGGTAGCTTAGATGCAAGACCAAGGTCCTTCCACCATCTGCATATTAGAAAAAGAAAAAAGAAATGAAAACGTTTAATTAATGGATTAGATTGAAAATCTCATCAACAAGATCTCGGAGGATTCGTACCTGGTGAGACTTTTTAGCTCTTGGATGTAATGCAGCTGGCAATAGTTGAAGTTGAGCTTGGCAAACTTGACAAGCGTCTCGTCATGACCTCCTTCTTGGTCGTAGAAAGAGATATACTCTCTTGCAATTAATATTTCTATGTTTTGACATCGAGGTCTGTACAATGAGTTTTGTATATGTCTAGAGAGATGGGGAGTACTACTAGCTTCTTGAACTGACAAAGATTCCAAGCGAGTTCTCGAGAAACTCACGGCTTCGTCCAGTATATCTTCAGAGGGTGTTTTGAGATGCGCAGCTTCGTACAACTGTAGCAGCCCTCTAACATCCCTCACTAGATTCTCCTTGAACTTTCCATCTTCACCTTTGAATCTATCGAACACATCTATGTACGTACAATGAAACCATATAGCCAGGTTATATCTATAAGTAATCAAATACATTCATGTTATGAATATGTTGCATGCATCATGCATGTCTGTAAATCAATCAAGGAAACTGATATTCTTACCACAAGACATCTTATGACCATAAAGTCTAAAGACCTCAAACATAATGGAGATTGTTTCCAAGTCATTTTCCCCGACTAATATGTCATCCAACTTTGTGAAACTGTGGTTAAGGATCTCTTGAATCTCCTTATCAAAATGATAAGAGATCCCGAGGCTGATAAGCAGATGGATGAGACGGATCTTCTCCTTGTCGCTTCTGTGAGAAGACACGAGCATGCCTCGCACCAGCGGCTTCGTAGTTTCAATCTCTTTTTCTAGTTCATCAAATACCTAAAAAAAAACGATACAAAATGGCTGGTCAAGAATCATGTTTTTTGCAACAAGACACGTGAAAGGGACCAGTCACATGCACTTACCGCGCGATCAAGGGGAACAGAGAGGAAGTGATCTCCCCAAAGAGAGGGAGAAAAGTGCGTCAAAGGACGACTACTCTCAAGTTTATCGCTACTCTTAGAAGACCTTACAACCAACAAGTTGTTGTTTTTGGAGGAAAGAGTATTGTTTTGAAGTAAAAGGCGAGGGAAGAGAGAGAGATTGGTCTTAAGACATAGAGGTACTTTGTGAAGATAAGACAAAGTTCCGAGTCCAAAACCCATTCTTGTTGCTTCCATGTTTAGTCACAGTCGAGAAGGATCTAGCTACTCTGTTTTACTTGAAGTACTCTGTTTTTTATGTTCGGTTTCTGATTAATAAGGTTTCTGCTAGGAAAATTGCATGTAATAGCTATAAAAGAAATTATAATAGAATTTCTAACCATTTAACCTAAATTCAAATGTTAATATGTTGTCACATACACTAGTTTTCCTC